GCTATTATTTCATTAATTAGGCTTTCTATTCCTTTGCTCATCTCTTCTCCTTCTGGAACTCCCAAAATGTGAATTTTGTTTGCTTAATGGTGTCCCATAGGCTTTCCTTATTCCTTTTTATTCTTTTTTTTTTTTTTTTTTTTTTTTTTGCCTCACTGGGTTATTTCAAAAGATCTTTCAGTTCAGAAATTCTTTCTTTTGCTCAATCTAGTCTATTGTTTCTTGATTTTTAAATATATATATATATATATATATATTTTTTTTTTTTTTTGAGATGAAGTTTTGCTCTTGTCACGCAGGCTGGAGCATAATGGCACAATCTCGGCTCACTGCAACCTCTGCCTCCCAGGTTCAAGTGATTCTTGTACCTCAGCCCCGCAAGTAGCTGGGATTATAGGTGCCCGCCACCACGCCCAGCTAATTTTTGTATTTTTTTTTTTTTTTTTTAGTAGAGATAGGGTTTCACCATTTTGGCCAGGCTCGTCTTGAACTCCTGAACTCAGGTGATCTACCCACCTCGACCTCCCAAAGTGCTGGGGTTACAGAGGTGAGCCACTGCACCTGGCCTAGTCTATTGTTTATACAAGCTCTTGATTATATTTTTTAATTTCATTTATTGACTTCTGTAGTTCCAAAATTTCTATTTGGTTCTACTTTTAATATATATTTCTTTGTTGAATTTCTGACTCAGATCATAAATTGTTTTTCTGATTTCTTTGTATTATTTATCTATGCTCTCTTGTAACTCACTGAGTTTCTTTAATATCATTATTTTGAATTATTTTTCAGGCATTTTATAGATTTTCTTTTTGTTGGGATCTGTTATTAGACAATTATTGTGTCCTTTGGAGGTTTCATGTTTCCTTGCACTTTTGTGTCTCTTGTGTCCTTATGTTGATATCTATGCATCTGATGTAATAGCTGCTGCTTCCAATTTTATGGATTGACTTTCACAGGGAAAGACTTTTGCCTCTAGGTGTTTTTATAGTGTTAGTTGAGTATAGGGTGCTTTGGCTTTGATTCTGAGTGGGCACAGCAGTGTAGTTTCTGTATGATTTCTTCAGCTGTCATCAGTATTGCTGACATTTGGGTTCCTCAGTGGCTTAGATTGCAGTTGTTAGCAGATGCTAATGGCAAAGCTTTGCTGGGAATGGGGAAACCAGGCAGGCCTGTTCTCAGGCACCAGTGGTGGCAGCAGTCGCCTAGGTTTGCCGGTTCTCAGGCCCCCATGTGATGTATGTGGGCACTGGTGGTGATGGGTCCTTGAGCCTACATGAGATTTAGTTGGATGCGTGCAGTGGCAGTAATGGACCAAGTGGGAGGGCAGGTTCTTGGGCCCCTGTACAATTTGCATAGCATCAACTATGGCAGTAGCAAAAGTGGGCCAACCCTCTGGCCCCCAAGTGGTATGCACAGGCAGCAGCAGTGGCAGCAGCAAGCTGGGCAAGCCAGTCCCCAGGACCCCATGTGGCATGCGTGGATGAATGTTGGCCATGGCAGTGGCAGGCAGGCACTAGTAGCAGAGGGCATGTTGGACCTGTCCTCAGGCCGCTTGGAGGCATGTGTAGATGTGTGGTAGTCCTGCTGCTAGAGAAGGTGGGGTTGCTGTAAGTGGTGGTGGCCCTGGGCAGGTAGCTCTTAGGCTCTGGGGAATGCACACGTTGACTCCCTTTGTCCCAGGGAGAGCCACTAGGTGCACTGTGCTTCTTGTTTCCTGGGATGTAGGGCACTGCATGGGCTAGAGTGCTGAGGACTTAGCTGCACTGGTGATCTTAGCTGGCATCAATGCTGTAGCCCTCTAGGTGGATGTAGGAGAATATCAGTGGGACTTCAGGGGTATGGAGATTCAGGGTTGTTGGGCCCCAGAACAGGATGTGTATGGTGAGGGTTGGGCTCTTAAAAGAGCCTTACGCTGAAGCTGTTTGGGTCTTAGGGTATGGGGTATGTGGGACCCAATGTGAAGTCCCATTGTGGAACAATGCCACTGCATAGGTTCCAGAGAGCCTCAGGGCATGTGAGGGCCAAGGAGCTAGCTCATGGCTAGGATTACAGGAGTCCATAGTGGAAATGTGGACCTCTGAAGATCTCTCAGTTATCCTTTCCCTGGAATGGGAAGTTCCTCCTGGTTCTGAGCTAGTCCCAGCTGGGCTGGCTGCTTCACTTCCTTCTTCTCCCATGCCTCAGAGGTGCACTGTCACTTCTATGCTGAATATCAGTGTTCTCTCTTAGATGCTCATTCAATGTGTGATTATCTGCTCAGTGTTTTGGTCCTTCTTTGCAGAGGGGGTGAGTGCTAGGTGCCTCTATTCAACCATTTTAATGCTTCTCCAGCTCATTTTTTAATTGTTGACTAGTATTTTATTGTGTGAATGTACCAGTTTGTTAATCTTTTTACCTATTGAGGGATATCTTGTTGCTTCCAATGCTTGGCAGTTATGAATAAAGCTTCTATAAACATCCACATGGAGTCTTTTATGTGGACATAAATTTTAGGTTCTTTTGGTTATATACCCAGGAATGTGATTTGCTGGATCATATCAGACTATGCTTAGTTTTATTAGAAACTGCCCTCCATAGTGGCGCACCATTTTGCATTCCCACCAACAGTGAGAGAGAGTTCTTGTTGCTCCACATCCTCACCAACATTTGATGTTGTTTTTGGATTTTACCCATTCTCATAAGTGTAGTGTAATTTCATTGCTGTATTCATCTGCAAAACCATGATGAAATATGATGTCGAATAACTATTTATATGTGTATTTGCTCTTTATATATCTTCTTTGGTGAGGTGTCTGTTTAGATTTTTGTGCCCATTTAAAAACTAGGTTGCTTGTTTTCTTATTGTGGAGCTTAAGAGTTCTTTGCATATTTTGGATACAAGTCCCTATCATATATGAGTTTTGCAAATATCTTCTCTCAATCTATGGTTTGTCTTTTTCACTCTCTTGTAGTGTCTTTTGCAAAGCAAAAATTTTAATTTTAATGAGGTCCAACTTAACAGTGTTTTCTTTCTTGGATTATGTTTTTGATGTGGTATCTAAAAAATCATCACCAAATCCAAAGTCACCTAGATTATTTTCTCCTGTGTTATCTTCTGGAAGTTTTATAGTTTTGCATTATACATTTAGTTCTATGCTTAATTTTGAGCTAATTTTTGTGAAAACTATAAGGTCTGTGTCTAACTTCTTTCTTCTTCCTCCTCCTCCTCCTCTTCTTCTTCTTCTTCTTCTTCTTCTTCCTCTTCCTCTTCCTCTTCTTTTTTTTTTGCATGTGGAGGTCTAATTGTTCCAGCACCATTTGTTGAACAGACTATCCATTCTCCACTGAGTTGCCTTTGCTCCTTTGTCAAACAGCAGTTGATTATTTTTGTGTGGGTCTATTTCTAAGCTCTGTATTCTGGCCATTTGATCTATTTGTCTATTCTTTCACCAAAACCACACTGCCTTGATTGCTGTAGCTTTGTAGCCAGCTTAAATGTTAGGTGGTGTCAGTTATCTGACTTTGTTCTTTTAATTTCTTTTCCTGTGAATAAACAATACTTTCTTGTTTCTTTGCCTGGCTAATTTTTTTAAACAAATAAATTAGAGATTCCTTTAAGCCCAAGTTACACAATCAAAAAGACAACAATCTCTTTCCATTTGCTTTTTGCAAGGTTTGTGTTATTTCAGGGCAAAACCCAGAGCAAGTCCACTGGCAAATCTGGGGGCTAGTGATTATTTTGTTTTGATTTTTATTTTTTAAAATCAGACATTTAAAACATTGTAATGAGGTAACTCTAAAAATCAAATTCTGTCCCCCTTTCCCAGAGCTATTTTTTTTTTTTTTTTTTTTTTTGACCAGGGTCTCATTCTGTCATCCAAGCTGGAGTGCAGGCTTATTGGAGCCTTGACTTCCCTGGGCCCAAACAGTCCTCCCACCTCAGCCTCCCAAGTAGCTGGGACTATAGGCACATGCCACCATGCCCAACTAATTCTTGTATTTTTTGTATAGATGGAGTTTCACCATGTTGCACATGCTGGCTTTGAACTCCTGGACTCAAGCGATCCCCCTGCTTTGCCCTCCCCAAGTTCTGGGATTACAGGCTTGAGCCACTGTGGCTGGCCTCCCTTTCCCAGAGTGCGTTGCTGCTTTTTGTGGCTTATAGTTGCTTGTTTAATGACTTTGCTAAATATTTTTTATAAAGACTATTCTTTATCATGTGTGGCTATTACATTTTCTGTCCAGTTAGCTTAGTGGTCAGCCAGTGACTTGAGATTTCTTTAAACATCTGGAGCAAAAACAAAAACAAAACAAAATACCAGTAGCAAAAACAAAAACTCCCCTGATCTTTGCAGATTGGCTGTGTTGGATCATTTTATCAATGCTTACCCAGCTTATTCACAGCTCTACCTTAGCCTTCACTTCCTGCATGCATGGAAGCTGAAGATGAGCCAGAGGTGAAGTTTAGGATTTTCTCAGGTCTCCTCTGAACATGTGTCCAGCCTTGGGCACGTGAGTGGACTTCTAGACTACTTGGTACATACAGAGATTTCCAAAGCCTTTTTTCTCCCACGTATCTTTTTCTGTATATCTTTGCATATTTCCCAGGCTTTTTGAAGTGTCTGCTGCTTGCCCCCTCTGTTAGCCCTTGCTCAGGTGACTGCAGCTAGTATATTTGCCTTTTTAAATGTTTACAGCAAACACCACCCAGAAGGCTGCTCCAGACCTGAGAAAGTTCTAACGTGTACAAAATAAAGGCAAGCCCCTGAGTGTGAATCCCCTAGGCAGCAACCAGACAGGTCAAAACACACAACCACAATTCTTTGATAACAAGACCTATATTGCCCCTTCTGGCATGAGCAAGCTGTATAACTGGTTATAAAAAGTATCATATTAAATTATGGGAACAGAAATGACTCTACTAGTGAATGAAGAAATCGTTTAGATTTTATGGTTAGTAAGTGGAGGTTTGAGAGTAACCATCCGATCTTTATTAATCTTAGTGTATATTATATTTCTAGAATTTGGACTCATATCAAGATGCTGTAAAGAACAACAACCCTTTAGGATAGCCACTGCAACATCATGACCAAAGACAAAGAACCTGTTGTTAAAAGCTTCCATTTTGTTTGCCTTATGATCATAATAGTTGGAACCAGAATCCAGTTCTCCGACGGAAGTGAATTTGCAGTAGACAAGTCAAAAAGAGGTCTTACTCATGTTCCAAAAGACCTACCGCCGAAAACCAAAGTCTTAGATATGTCTCACAACTACATAGCTGAGCTTCAGGTCTCTGACATGAGCTTTCTGTCAGAGTTGAAAGTTTTGAGACTTTCCCATAACAAAATCCAGCTACTTGATTTAAGTGTTTTCAAGTTCAACCAGGACTTGGAATATTTGGATTTATCTCATAATCAGTTGCAAAAGATATCCTGCCATCCTATTATGAGTTTCAGGCATTTAGATCTCTCATTCAATGACTTCAAGGCCCTGCCCATCTGTAAGCAATTTGGCAACTTGTCACAACTGAATTTCTTGGGGTTGAGTGCTACGAAGTTACAAAAATTAGATTTACTGCCAATTGCTCACTTGCATCTAAGTTACATCCTTCTGGATTTAAGAAATTATTATATAAAAGAAAATGAGACAGAAAGTCTACAAATCCTGAATGCAAAAACACTTCACCTTGTTTTTCACCCAACTAGTTTATTCTCTATCCAAGTGAACATATCAGTTAATACTTTAGGGTGCTTACAACTGACTAATATTAAATTGAATGATGACAACTGTCAAGTTTTCATTAAATTTTTATTAGAACTCACTAGAGGTCCAACCTTACTGAATTTTACCCTCAATCACATAGAAACAACTTGGAAATGCCTGGTGAGAGTCTTTCGATTTCTTTGGCCCAAACCTGTGGAATATCTCAATATTTACAATTTAACAATAATTGAAAGCATTCATGAAGAAGATTTTACTTATTCTAAAACGACATTGAAAGCATTGAAAATAGAACATATCACGAACCAAGTTTTTATCTTTTCACAGACAGCATTGTACACCGTGTTTTCTGAGATGAACATTATGATGTTAACCATTTCAGATACACCTTTTATACACATGCTGTGTCCTCATGCACCAAGCACATTCAAGGTTTTGAACTTTACGCAGAATGTTTTCACAGATAGTATTTTTGAAAAATGTTCCACGTTAGTTAAATTGGAGACACTTATCTTACAAAAGAATGGATTAAAAGACCTTTTCAAAGTAGGTCTCATGACTAAGGATATGCCATCTTTAGAAATACTGGATGTTAGCTGGAATTCTTTGGAATCTGGTAGACATAAGGAAAACTGCACTTGGGTTGAGAGTATAGTGGTGTTAAATTTGTCTTCAAATATACTTACTGACTCTGTTTTCAGATGTTTACCTCCAAGGATCAAGGTACTTGATCTTCACAACAATAAAATAAAGAGCATTCCTAAACAAGTCGTAAAACTGGAAGCTTTGCAAGAACTCAATGTTGCTTTCAATTCTTTAACCGACCTTCCTGGATGTGGCAGCTTTAGCAGCCTTTCTGTATTGATCATTGATCACAATTCAGTTTCCCACCCATCAGCTGATTTCTTCCAGAGCTGCCAGAAGATGAGGTCAATAAAAGCAGGGAACAATCCATTCCAGTGTACCTGTGAGCTAAGAGAATTTGTCAAAAATATAGAGCAAGTATCAAGTGAAGTGGTAGAGGGCTGGCCTGATTTTTATAAGTGTGACTACCCAGAAAATTTTAGAGGAACCCCACTAAAAGACTTTCACATGTCTGAATTATCCTGCAACATAACTCTGCTGATCGTCACCATCGGTGCCACCATGCTGGTGTTGGCTGTGACTGTGACCTTCCTCTGCATCTACTTGGATCTGCCCTGGTGTATCAGGATGGTGTGCCAGTGGACCCAGACCCGGCGCAGGGCCAGGAACGTACCCTTAGAAGAACTCCAAAGAAATCTCCAGTTTCATGCATTTATTTCATATAGTGAACATGATTCTGCCTGGGTGAAAAATGAATTGGTACCTTACCTAGAGAAAGAAGGTATGCAGATTTGCCTTCATGAGAGAAACTTTGTTCCTGGTAAGAGCATTGTGGAAAATATCATCAACTGCATTGAGAAGAGTTACAAGGCCATCTTTGTTTTGTCTCCCAACTTTGTCCAGAGTGAGTGGTGCCATTATGAACTCTACTTTGCCCATCACAATCTGTTTCATGAAGGATCTAATAACCTAATCCTCATCTTACTGGAACCCATTCCACAGAACAGCATTCCCAACAAGTACCACAAGCTGAGGGCTCTGATGATGCAGAGGACTTATTTGCAATGGCCCAAGGAGAAAAGCAAACGTGGGCTCTTTTGGGCTAACATTAGAGCCACTTTTAATGTGAAATTAACACTAGTCACTGAAAACAATGATGTGAAATCTTAAAAAAAAAATTAGAAAACTCAACTTAAGAAACCATATTTACTTGGATGATGGTGCACAGTACAGTTCTAAGTAACCTCCATTATCCTCATGCCTTCGGGAAAGACTTAACAAAAACAACGTTTCATCTGGGGAATTGGGCTAGGCGGTGAGGTGGTACTCAACTTGCCAGTTAGAGACAGCCCGGTCTCTTCTGGGTTTAGTCATTATGTCTCAAATTGAAACAGTCTCTTTTGAGTGAATTCTCAGTTTTTCAGCCCCTCTCCGCTCTGCTTTCCCAAATGGATTCTGTGTGAGCAAGAGTTTATATGGCTTCATGGCAGCAAGGAAACAGTCAACCTCAGCGACACATGCACTGGTCCTCAGAGAGCCCTGTGAATCCTATTGGTTTCTGGGTCAGCGTCATCATTCTCTTCAAGTTTGGGGCTTGGGGAAAAAATTAGATCAGCTACGGCATATAAAAAAGTCTTTTGTTTCACATATGTGTAATAACTTATTTATTTTTTTATCCCGCTACACAAATATGTAATTAACCAATGAGGACTCATGACGTAATAGTGTATGTATGTAAAGGGAAATATGGACTTAGTCATAAACTGTTAAGGTGAAAGACGTGGATTTACTTGCTTTCCAAGAAAACTCAGGGCCAAATTTATTTGTAAATGGGTATTGAATGGGACTTTTCTGGTTGTCTTAGAATTCTGGCTAAAGCCTCAAAGCTAACAAGACAGTAACTGCACCCACATGGTACTAGACACAGCCAGCCTGAACTTATCAAAAGAGCAGAAAGAGACCAATGACTCCCTATCTGTATTATCCATCTCTAGAGACTAGAGTCAAAAGCATGATTAAAGAGTCATTAAGCGGAGGTTCTAGACCATAGGGAGGTTGCTTTGAATTTCTTGCAGACAAGTGTGAGGGACTCTAAGCACAGTAGAAAGTAGCCTGGCATCCCACTCCAAGACTGAAAGCTTGCAGAGTAACAGGAGCACACGGGTTCAGCGCAGCAAATGTGGTGTGGCTTGAGAACTCTTGGAAGAGCTTGATGAGTGTTTGCTGGAGTTTGGGATGAGGGTGGGCACTGGGAACACAGAGACTGGTAAATAGTGCTTAGCAAATACAAGTGCTTGATAAAGATTTGTTGAATGAATAGATGAGTTCTTCCCACCTGGGGAATTCAGAAGGTAAAAGTTGGCTTGAGCAACCCAAAATGGCAGGATGAGGGAAGAGAAGCAGTGATAGCAACCTGCCCTTCCATTATTGGCATGGTAAAAGGATATGAATTTCTTCACATGGCTTTGACTATGGAAGAGTAGCTGGGCTTGCGTTGTCATGATGGGATATCAGTCAATAGGGTAGCCTGTTGTGCAAAGAGACTATAGCAGTAAGAGAACATGGGGTTAGGCAGAAGAGGGGTTTGGGGTGGAGGTTGCTGCAAGAGGTCAGCCAGATAATGTGCCCCTGCATCATGGAACTGTGCAATGTGGGGTACACTCAAGGCCCTCCAATAACTCACAGATGTGCCCTGTGAAAAAGCCAGCATTTGGACTCTGCCATAGTAACTGGCAGGAGCATGTTGGCCTGTCTGCCTTATTCAATAGTTAACTACAGGAAGATCTGCTCCTCTTTGTGTAATGCCCTCTTCCCTTGCAATGGCGTGGGGACATCTAGAATATAGAGAAGACAGAGACAATGGAGGAAGAGTAAACTGACTGTATTCCTTCTTCATTTCACTGCAAGGAAGGCCAAGCAGAATTTTGAATGAGGTGTGAGATTGCTGTTAAATTGGACTGGCCTGGACATTTTAATCCCTTATATAGAGGTGCAAGGACTAAAATGAGATTTGTCACTAAAATTTATGGTATCTGCCCAAGATTCAGGAGTGATGATTGAAGGAGATCCAACAGATCTTTGTTGTAAGGCAGTGGTTAGAGACAAATGAAGCCCTTGCTTTCTGGACTTAGCTCATTCAATAAACTGGTTTCAGCCAGGCACAGTAGCTCACATCTGTAATCCCAGTACTGTGGGAGGATGAGGCAGGCAGATCACTTGAGGTCAGGAGTTCGAGACCAGCCTGGCCAACGTGGTGAAACCCCGTCTGTACTAAAAATACAAAAATTAGCTGGGTGTGGTGGTGCACACCTGTAGTCTCAGCTACTTGGGAGGCTGAGGCAGGAGAATCACTTGAACCTGGGAGACAGAGGCTGTAGTGAGCTGGGCAACAGAGCAAGACTCCATCTCAAAAAAATTAAAAGAAAAAGCTGTTTTCATAATAGCTGTAACAAAATAAGCCTTAATGACATTTTATTAGCATCATCTTCTGTCTGCATTAACCCTTCCTTTCTCTTCAGGAGAACAACATTTATTTTCCTCTGTAGGCTCTATCCCAAATGGCACATTCTTCCACAACCCCTGTTGAACAGATTTGTTGAACTGTTGCCTAAAAACAATAAAAACAATAAACAACCACAATAACAACAACAACAACAAAAATTGCCACAGATTCTAAATAATCAAGTATTTTTAAATGGTATCAATGTTTCCCACAAAATATTGTTGACATTGAAAATACAGAATTTTAGCATTAATTCTTTTTTTTAAACTTACATCCCCTCAGCGGAGGGGCGTCCCTTCATCCTAGTGGAAAGTAGGGTCCTCACAGTCTTTCTCTGTCACATTCCTCCCGTTTCTTTTCTTCACAGCACACATAACTGTCTAAAATTATCTTGTTTGCTTAATTGTTTACTCGTTTTCTCTTTCTCTCCTCTAAAGTATAAGCTCCAGGAGAACGGGAGCCTTCTCCATCTGTTCCCTGCCCCTCCCCAGTGCCGAGGGGACCCTGCGCACCCCACTGTAGATGCGCAGTAAAAACTCGTGGGATGAACAAATGACTCTGAAACGGTCCCATGCAGGAAATGTCCATGAAGTCCTGGATTTTATCCAAAAATCCCAGGCAGGCGGGGACAGGGGTGGCGGGGCTACAGTTCCACCCTGAGCTGCCCCCTGGCCGCTCGTCCCCGCCGCAGTGCCTGGGCTGCCCGAGTGCCTGACGTTGGCCATGGACACCTTCGCGGTGTCCTCCCCATCCGCCACTGGAAGACGCTGGGGTGACGCGGCTCCAGGTTTAGCAGGACACTGAGAGAAGGGAACGACTGCCTTTCCGAGGCTGGGTGAGCCCTTCCCTGTTCCTCACCTGCTCGCCCCACAGCGGCCCTGCAGCTTGTCCCACGCGACCCATTGCCTGGTAGGACGCGCGCTTTTGTTTTGAGGGTCATGCATCTTCCCTGCCATCGTTTTTGGGAGGTTGAAAAATTGATCCAGAAATACCTAAAACAAAATACAAAACAAAACAAAAAACAAAAGCAAAAAGGAGGCAAAACAAAACAAAAATCCATACATATAAAGTATCTCCTCCATCCATGTTTGCGCTGTTCCTTCTCATTCCCCCATCCAATGCCACAGTTTGTTAAGTTTGCCTCAGTACATTTTCAGTTCTTAACACTGGGATAAGAATAAACAGTAGATCCCGTAGTAAGATGACCTGTTAAAAGGAATGCGGCGTGGCAAAGATGGGCTTGGATGAAAAAAAGGTGTCAGGCCGTTTGGGCTGCTCTACTACCTGTGTTCTGAGATGTGTGTTGTTAGGTAATTTTGCCTTTGGTTGAACATCATAGAGTGCACTCACACAGACATAGATGGCATAGCTTACTACCCACCTAGGCTTATTGTTTAGCCTGTTGCTTCTAGGTGATTGTAACACGATGCTAAGTATTTGTGTATCCAAACATACCTAAACATAGGAAGGGTACGGTAAAAATATGGTAAAAAAGATAAAAATTGGTACACCTGTAGAGGGCACTGATGTGGGTTGGCTGTGTCCCCACCCAAATCTCATCTTGAATCTCCACGTGTTGTGGGAGGGACCTAGTGGGAGGTGATTGAATCATGGGGGCCGATCTTTTCCTGTGCTGTTCTTGTGATAGCCAATGGGTCTCATGAGATCTGATGGTTCTTTAAGGGGGAGTTTTCCTGCACAAGTTCTCTCTCTTCCCTGCTGCCATGTAAGATGTGACTTGCTCCTCCTTGCCTTCTGCCATGATTGTGAGGCTTCCTCAGCTCCATGGAACTGTAAGTCCAATAAATCTCTTTCTTTTGTAAATTGCCCAGTCTCAGATATGTCTTTATCAGCAGCGTGAAAATGAACGAATACAGGCACTTACCATGAATAGAGCTTGCAGGACTGGAAGTTGCTTTGGGTGAGTCAGTGAGGGAGTGGTGAGTGAATGTGAAGGCCTAGGACATTACCATATCCCACTGTGGACTTTATAAACACTGTACATACAGGCCACACAAAATTTATTAAAATTTTTTTCTTTCTTTAGTAAGAAGTTAACCTTAGCTTATTGTAATGTTTTCACTTTATCAACTTTTGCTTAAAAATTTTTTTTGGCTCTTTAGTAATAACACTTAGCTTAAAACACAAACACATTCTACAGCTATATAAAAATATTTTCCTTCTTTATATCTTTATTTTATGTTTTTCTATTTTAAATTTTTTTTATTTTTATTTTTCACTTTTTAAACTTTTCTGTTAAAAACTGAGACACACACACACACACACACACACACACATTAGCCCAGGTCTACATAGGGTCAATATCAATATCATTGTCTTCTGCCTCTACCTCTTGTTCCTTTGGAAGGTCTTCAGGGGCAATAACATGCATGGAGCCATCGTCTCCAATAACAACAATGCCTTCTTCTGGAAAACCTCCTGAAGGACCTGCTTGAGGCTTTTTTATATATAGTTAGCTTTTAAAAAACAAGTAGGAGTACACTCTAAAATAATGATTAAAATTATAGTCTACTAGATACAGAAACCAGTAACATAGTTGCTTATTATCATTGTCAAGTATTATGAGCTGTATGTAATTGTATGTACTATGCTTTTATATGACTGTTGGTGTAGTATGTTTGTTTACAGCAGCATCACTACAAACATGTGAGTAATACATTGCACTACAATGTTACTAGGGCATAGGAATTTTTTATCTTCATTATCATCTTATAGGGCCATGGCTGCTGAGTGAAATATTGTTATGCAGTGCATGACTGTACCACAAATTGAGTAGCTTATAAACAATGGAAATATATGGCTTATAGTTCTGGAGGCTGTAAAGTCCAAAGTCAAGCTGCTGACAGATTTGGTGCCTGGCAAGGGCCCACTTCCTGGTTCATAGATGGCTTGTCTTTTCACTGTATCCTCACATGGAGGAGGGCACTCATCCCATTCATGAAGGCTCCACATTCATGACCTAATTGTCTCCCAACATCCCCAACTCTTAATACAGCTGTTCCTCCATATCCACAGGGGATTGGTTCCAGGAGCCCTGTAGATCCCAAAGTCTGTGAATGCTCAAGTCCATATATAAAATGGCATACTTCCAGCCTGGGCATCATAGTGAGACTTCACCTCCTCAAAAAAAAAAAAAATACAAAAATTAGATGGGCATTGTGGCACATGCCTGTAGTCCCAACTACTCAGGAGGCTGAGGTGGGAGGATTGCTTGAGCCCAGGATTTCCAGGCTATAGTGAGCTATGATCATGCCATTGCACTGTAGCCTGGGCAACAGAGCAAGACACTGACTCCGAAAAAAAAGTGTACTATTTACATATAACCTATGTACATCCTCCCATATGCTTAAATCATTTCTAGATTTCTTACAATACCTAATACAAAGTATGTAAATGTTATGTAGTGGTTATACTATATGGTCTTTTATTTTTATTATTTTGTATTATTATATTGTTATTATTTATTTATTCATTTATTGAATATTTTCAATCCATGGTTGTTTGAATCTATGGATGTGGAACCCATGGATATGAAGGGCTGACTACATTATCCCTTTGGGGGCTAGGATTTCACCATGTGAATTTTGGGGGAACACAAACATCCAGACCATAGCAAAAGGGAAGAGAAACCTAGGTTAGTGACCAGGGAGGGCTGCTAGGATGAGCCTTGATGAAAGGTCTTTCATCAGGGGGGTCCTGGGCATGTGGCTGGAAAGGGTCTTGGGCATGTGGCTGAGAAGACCCTTCAAAGGGGAGGGCACAGTGGGTGCAAAGTTGGA